GAAGAATAATCTGGAAGTAGTGACTGCCGCTGTTCAACAGGACGGAAGGGCACTAAAGTTTGCATCAGCTGAGCTGAAGGGCATTGTGGAAGTAGTTACTGCAGCAGTATCACTGTGCGGGTTTCAACTTGGATATGCATCAGATGAGCTGAAGGGCAACCTGCAAGTAGTGACAGCAGCTGTGTCCCAGCGTGGGTTTGCACTCAAATTTGCATCTAATGAACTTAAGAATAACCAGGAAGTAGTGACTGCGGCTGTTAAAGAATGTGGAAGGGCACTACAGTTTGCATCAGCTGAGCTGAGGGACAACGTGGAAGTAGTTACTGCAGCAGTGTCCCAGGATTGGGAGGCAATAGAAGCAGCATCCGAGGGGGTGAGAGGAGATTACATTGTTTGCAAAACAGCAGTAGATCAGGACATTGATGCACTCCCCTGGTCCTCCCATAAATTCTTTGTTGAGTTTGCGAGGGAAAACCTATTGAACAATATGCCCTAAGATACTCAATTGTTCACACTAATAACTACTATTTATATTTCGTACAAATGTACGCATCGTATCAATACCTACACCATTATTACACGAAACAAAACCAACACAAAAACTAAGAACAGCGTTCTCGGAATCCATGCCATACTCGGTCCGGGGAAAAATGTAGCCCGTAATCAGGCACTCTCGATGCAATTCTCTGCTATAATATCTGTTAAGCTAACCAATTCCATGGCACTCATGATGTCGTTGAAGTTAGTAAGCCACTGGTCCCTGCTATGAAGGACAAAAAATTCGTCCTTCGATCCAGCATTACGGACGACAGCAGCTTCAGAGTAAATGCTTGAGCAAGGAAACATGTACAACCCGGAGCGCAACGTGCCCTTCTTCACAAATGAATGAKGTTTCCGGTTCACATACTTTCGGCGGCTTTCTATGTCTTGCTCTTCCAAAAAGCATCGAACGATAGCGTAGAAACCTGCGTCGTGGACATCAAAGCCCCTCACCAAGTGAGTACCAGTTGGTCGGTCGATGTCAAGAAAACATAGTATCTGGCATGGATAGCGCTTCAGAACAGGATTACCATCATTGTCGACCGGGTAAACACCCCTTTTGTTAGGGAGATGTACAAGGAAATACGCCCAGTTGTACCATATGTTGCATTCTTGTCCAGAATCAGATTTGAAAGAGGGGTGTGCACGGAATAGCAGTGTTTCGTTTGTTGCCGAGTCAATTCTTTTGTGTTCAGTGAAGCCAGTCAACTTCTTCGTGTCGACAGCGTCAAGAACGTGGTTTGCACAAAAATTAATAACATCTGTYGGTAAGCAAGGAAGGTTTCTCTTTTGGTTGTCCACAGAATTCCATTTCATAATGGCAAACGCGTGTCATCACTTTTCCCAATCGTAAACGTAGATCCACCATTCGGTTTAGGATAACGGGAATTCATTACACTGTCATAATAATCAAATTCAAGGTGTAGCCGATCTATTGTGCGGTATTCAATGTGACGCTTTGCGGTTTGTTGGATTAACGTTCTGGATGTATGTGAAGTTCTTTTAGCATGAGCTTTAACTTCCGTCTTATGGTTACTCTCACTCCAGGAGGAGTCCCATCCAGAAGGGGGACCGTATAGCTGAATGAATTGGGAAAGATGAAAGTACATGTGATTCTTTATAAGGTTGYTGCCCATCCCATCCGTTCGCGTCAGGTATTTGTTGATGATGTTAAGGAAATGAACAACCATCTTGTCCAGGTTGGATGCTCCAGACGTCCCTTTGGGGTACTCAAAAATGTCTTCCAGACCCCAAAGGCCGGAATCATCATTGCCTAACCCTTGGCTGTCAGGAGAAACAATTCCAAATATATCTTGTGTAGTGCCGGACCACTTTAAGAACTCTTCCATGCCCAGTATCAGTTCCAATGCATAAATGCGACCGTCTATCATGTCTTCGGTATGACAGTTGATTAGTAGCCCGCGACCTTCGTCTGATAACAAGCAGAGGATCTTCAGTAACAGCATGCCACTAAAATGATTACCCTCTTTCTTTGCGGTGTGTATAGACTCHRAAAAATTGGTGCDAGRAAAKTCACGATCGGACTGTCTCTGGAGTGAGGATCCATAGAAGCTAGCTATAGAGTCCATCCCGTCAAGAAGTTTCTTTGAAGTTCCAAGAAATGCGTCACGGAAGGTTTC